GGCACGCTCGCGTTTTTTTTTTTGTTTTTTTTTTTTTTTGTTGTTTGTTGTTTTTCTTTTTTTGTGAGACGATGTTTGAAGCATGTTCCAGAGTCGTGGCCCCACCTGAGAGCCTCTCTCTCTCTGATAGTGCGTGTGTGAGAGTCATCACCGCCAACAAGCGGCACGGCAGCACGCCAGGACACCAGGCTGCGACCTGTGAGGCAGTTGGGGCCTATGGGGCCCGTGGGGCCTGAGTGGAATGTCAGACCTCCGGGGCCTGTGGGACCTGTGCGACACATGTCGGACCTGCGCGACTGGCGGGGCCTGCGCGACCTGTGGGGCCTGTGGGACCTGTCAGACCTGGAGGGCACAGGGTACATGCTGGCTCTGCGGGCCCTGTGGGACTAGTGGGGCACCTGGAACTTGAGGGACCTTTGGGGCCTGTGGGACATGCCTTTGGGCCCTGTGGGCCCTGTGGGACCTGTGCGACCCGTGGGAACCGTGGGGCCTGTGGGTCTTGTGCGGCCTGCGGGACCTGTGGGACCTGTGTTGCCTGTGCGCCCCCAGCTCCCGCTCCAGCTCAAGACTTCCTCGCGATTCGCTCACGGACGAGGCTCCCGCGCAGGATTTCCTCCATATTCAAGCCAGACGAGTCACAGCATGACGACAGTTACAAGTGTTCCACTGACCCACTCGGATTATGGAGGTGGAGACCTTATAGGGAGGACTCCCGCTTTACACATCCTTGCCATCCACTCACGTACGAGGCTCCCGCTCGATACGTCCCTGACGACAGCGACAGGTTTGGGGATGATCCGCTTGGCTTGCAAACGTGAGCTGCGGGCACCATAGAGGGGAGCGCTCCCGCCTGAGACTTCTCGGAGTTGACTCACCGACGAGGCTCTCGCTTGATACTTCCTCCAGATTCATGCCTGGGGAGCCAAAAAGTAAAGACAATTACAAGTTTTAGGATCACCCACCTTGATTGCTAACATGGGCTGCGGGCCCCATATGTAGGGAACTCCCGCCTAAGACTCTTTCAACATTCAGTCACAGACGAGGTCCCGCTTGATACTTCCTCTATACCCATGCCTGAGGGCCCAATCAATAGCGACACCTATGAGTTTTAGGATGGCCCGCTCGAATCACTAGCTCGAGACTTCCCTACATGTACTTACAGACGAGGCGGTCGCTTGATATTTCTTCCATGCTCATGTCCGACGATCCCGAAAACAGCGACAGCTACAAATTTCAGGACCCGCTTGAATTACTCACATGAGCTGCGGGTCCCATAAGGATGGGGGTCCCGCATGAGACTTCTCCGCAAATCGCTCACAGACGAGGCTACCGCTTGATACGCCCTCCATTTTCAAGCCTGAGGAGCCCCAGAATTAGCTGACACCTCCTCCCAATTCGCTCACAGACGAGGCGCCCGACGGATACCTCCTCCATACCCATGCCTGAGGACCCAAAAATGGTGAAAAGCATAATTTTCAGGAGGCCCTGCTCGGATTGCTAACATGCGCCGCGGGCCCCGTAAGGAGGGGACTCCCGCCTGAGAGTTCCTTGCAATTCGCTCACAGACGAGGCTCCCGCTTGATGCTTCCACCACATCCAGGCCGGAGGACCGCGACAACAAGGACAATCACAGGTTTGGGGATGACCCGCTTGGATTGCTAAGGTGGGCTGGGGGGAAGGCCCATGTGGAGGGGGCTCCCGCCAGCGATTTCCTCGCCATTCGCTCACAGACGAGGCTCCCGCTGGATACTCCCTCCAGAGTCCTGCCTGAGGAGCCCCAGAATGACAACACTTAGAAATGTTAGGACGGCCCGCTCGGCATGAGCTGCGGGCCACATAGGGAGGGCGCTCCTGCCTTCGACGTCCAGCCACTCACAGACGAGACTCCCGCTGAATACTTTCTCCATATTCAAGCCTGATGACCCCAACAACAGCTACAGGTTGAATAAGGGCCCGCCCGGATTGCAAACATGAGTTGCGGGCCTCACAGGGAGGGGGCTCCCGCCTGTGGTTTGCTCGCAATTCGCTCGCAGACGAGGCTCCCGCTTGATACTTCATCCATGCCCATGCCTGAGGAGCTCAAACCTGACGATAACTAAATCTGTTAATGGGACCCGCTTGGATTGCTAAAGTGATCTGCGGGCCCCACAGGGAGGGGGCTCCCACATGAGAATTCCTCGCGATTCACTCACCGACGAGGCTCCCGCTTGATACTTCCTCCAGATTCCTGTCTGATGACCCCAGACATGACCATGGCTACACATTTCAGGATGACCCGCTCGGATTGCTAACATGAGCTGCGGGCCCCATATGGAGGGGACGCTCCCCTGAGACTTCCTCGCAATTCACTCACAGACGAGGCTCCCGCTTGACACGCCCTCATTGCTCAGGCCTGAGGACCGCAACAGCGACGACAATTAATTACATGTTTTAGGATGACCGCTCGGATTACTAGCATGAGTCGCGAAGGCTTCCGCCTGAGATTTCCTCAGACTTTACTCACAGACAAGGCTCCCGCTTGATACGCCATCCATATTCAGGCCTGAGGAGGAACCCTGGTATTAAGATGAATGTGTGAAGGAACAAGGGAGCTGAGAGAGTGAGAGAGTGAGTAAGTGAGCGAAGTGTGTGATTGAGTGAACGCATGAATACGATGGTGATGAAGGTGCTGCCAGTGCGTGATGATGACGATGGTGGTGGTGGTGGTGATGGCGATGGTGATGGTGATGATGATGGTGATGATGATGATGTTGATGATGATGATGAAGATTTGTTCGCGTTGGTGGCCGTGTTCCTGCGCAGGGTGTCCATGCGGGGGGCGGCGACGCTGCTGATGATGGTGATGCTGATGATGATGCTGATTCTACAGCTGCTGCTGATGATGATGATTATGATGATGCTGCTGATTATGATGATGACGATGACGATGACGATGACGATGATGATGATGATGATGATGATGATGACGACGACGACAACGATGATGATGATGATAATGATGATGATGATGATGATGATGATGGTGCTGATGATGATGCTGCTGGAGATACTGATGCTGGCACTGCTGCTGCTGCTGATGCTGCTGCTGCTACTTATTATGCTGATGATGCTGATGATGTTGCTGATATTGCTGATGCTGATGATGCTGCTGATGATGCGGATGATGATGCTGATGCTGATGATGATGTTGATGCTGATCCTCATGCTGTTGATGATGCTGCTGCTGATGATAATGGTAACGATCATGATAATAATATTAATAATAATAATAATGATGATGATGATGATGATGATGATGATAATACTGATGATAATGATAAGGATGATGATGATGATGATGATGATGATAAGTGCGTGAGTGCGCGAGTGTGTATGTGTGTCGGTGGGGAAGGGAGAGGAGGGGCGTGTGGAGAAACGACGAGCGCCTCACTGCAGAGGTGGGGAAAAACAAAAAAAGCCAAAAGAAGGCTTCTGGACACGTGCGGCCTCCGAGGGCCCCCGCCGCGCCCTAGGCTAGGACCGTGACTGAAACCGACTCAAGATGGCAACCTGGCGCTGGGGAAAGCGTCGGGGCTTCCGGGGGGGGCCGCGCATGGAACACCTCCTCGACCTCTCCCTGCTCTTCGTGCTCCTGCGCCTGCTCCTGCTCCTGCTCCTCCGCCTCCCGTTCCTCCTCCTCTTGCTCCTCCTCTGCTCCTGCTGCTCCTCTTGCTGCTCCTGCTCCTCCGGACGTCGCAGGGCCCTCAACCTCTCCTCTGCCTCCTCGCCCTCGCCCGTGCCTCTCCTCTGCCTCCTCGCCCTCGTCCGCAGTTACCCCTTCCCTCTGCTCCTCCCCTCGCTGGAGTCAAGGCCCCCCCAGCTGGAGTCGGAACAGCTGGGGCCCCAGGATCACGCAGCATCGCCGATGCATCGCCGATGCGTCGGCGATTCACTGGCGACGCCGGCGATGCATCGGCGACGTTGGCGTGGATGACATCGGGCTCCACATCGAGCCGCATCGTCGATACATCAGCGATGCGGCGCCATCCTCCGACCCCATCTACTCGGACCCCATCTGGGAGGCCTAGAGGAGGCCGAGCGCCATGATCTTGACAGCGAGTGTGGGGCGTGGGGGGGAAAAGGAGAAGGCGGAGGGGGGGGGCAAGGGTAATCTCCACAGGTCCTTAGAGCCCCCTGAAGACTGGAGGCAAACTATATGTTCGGCGACCTTGTTGACGGACTGGCCCCCCATCCATCATGGAAAATAACATTTCTCTGCGGCACCCGCCGCACAACAACGACGACGACGATGACGAAGGATGAGAATGTGACCCATGCATGTGGCAAATATTGTGCATATATACACACGTGTGTGCATGTATATCGATACATATATATATAGTGTGTGTGTGTGTACATTCCTCTTACAAGCGTGCTCAACATTCCTCTGTCGTGCAGGGTAGCCCAGAGAGCATGTTATTCCCTGGGAGAAAGATGTCCCCAATGTTATCACACCCGCCCAGCAGTATAAGGAACACAAATTCCGCCGACGACGATTACGAATACGATTGCGACTACGATTACGGCTGCATTCACGACTACAATCACAGTGACAATCACGACTACAATCATGACTACAACCAAAACCACTGATTCCCATTGGAAACCAGCCGAGAAGATGCTCACACATTCTCTTGCTGCTTGCGTGTAGGGTATTCCATAATGGATTGATTATTCCCTGGGAGAGAGAAATCTGTAACATTATTCAGCCCGCCCGAACAATCGAGAGAAAACAAATCTCCGCCGCGACGACGACGACGATAACGCTCACGAGGAGGAGCAGGAGGAGGAGGAGCAGAGAAACAGGGAAGGGGGGTGACAAACTAAAGACCTTCTGCAATTACCCTCAAATCCGGGCATTGCATATTTCGTTGCACCAGGCATCCTCGCCACGAGACGGAGCCCGTGGCAGCGAGCCACGACCTCCGACTCGTGCGCCAAGCACTCGTCTGCCCCGCTCCTCACGGTGCGTTCTCCGGGTCCGGGAGGAAGACGCGCATGCGGTCGCCGGGCGCGACCGCGCCGACGGCGGCCATCTCCGCCGCGCCCAGCTCCCAGCCGACGACGTCCAGGTTCTCCGCGAGGTGCCCCTCGGAGGAGGCCGACGGCACCACTGCCACGCCCTGCTGCACCGCCCACCGGAGCAGCACCTGCGCCGGGCTCTTCCGCCTCTCCGCGGCCACCTTGGCGACGGCCGGCGCGCGGAGCATGGCGCCCCCGATCAGCGAGCCGCCCAGGGAGCCGTACGCCACCAGGGCGACCTGCCGCTGCGCGCACAGCTTGCGCAGCGCCTGCTGCGGCCACCACGGGTGGAACTCGACCTGGTTGACGGCCACGTGCATCGTGCGGCTCCTGGCGTCGAGGAGCTCGCCGAGGTGCCTCACGCCGAAGTTGGACACGCCCAGCGCGCGCGCCTTGCCTGCCCGCAAGGCCCGCTCCATGGCGAGCCACGTGGCGAGGCGACAGGCAGCCCAAGACCCGGGAGGGCGTGCGCACGCTGGGACCACGGCTTGGTCGTCGAAGTTCGCCGGCCAATGGATCAACACGAGGTCCACGTAGGTGCCGAGCTCCTCCACCATCCGGTCCACCGCGGCGCCCGCCTCCTCCAGCCCCATCTCCGTGGGTGGGATCTTGCTGGTTATGAAGATGTTCTCCCTCCCGACCCCGCTGCGGGCGAGCGCCGCCCGGATGCTCGCGTGGTTGTTGTAGAGCAGGCCGGTGTCGATGTGCCGCCCCCCCGCCCGCAGGAATCGCAGCACTGCTTCCACCGCTCGCTGGCCCTCGAAGCCGTTCGTGCCCAGGCCGCGCAGGGGCAGGGCCACGCCCGCGTAGCCCCGCAGCGGCAGCGACGGGCCTCCCTCGCGGGCCCGCCCCGCGGCGGCCGCGCCGCCGCCGGACTCTGCCGCCCAGTCCTCCAGCGCGAACCGCGCGGCAAGCTGGCCCGCGAGGCGCGAGGGGGCGTCGAAGTGCCCGCTGGGCGACTCGGGGAACACGGATGATGGGCCGATTGTCCACCACCACTACCACAGGTAGGCGGAGGCTTGGGATGATGATGAGGAGGAGGAGGAGGAGGACCTCCCCATCCTCTCCTCCCCCGTCCTAGCTATGGTTAGTGGTGGTGGAAAGGGCGCCCATCAACGGAGGCGTCCGCCACGCGCAGCCCGCGCACGCCCGCGACGCGGAGGCGCGAGTCCACCACGCCGGGGGCGCCCTCGCGGCCGATGCGGCAGGTGCCGTAGGGGTGCGAGTAGTCCGCCACCGCGCTTGCAGCGGTTGGTGTGTCGGGCCCTTGTTTTTGTTTCGGGGATCGGGTTTACAGGGGACTCGGGTTGGCCTGACGGGGCCGTCATGAAAATGACGAGACCCACTCTGAAACTTGACGCGAGCTCCCGCTGCAGACATCTCACGAAAGCTGGACCGTCAAAGCCCAAGACACACCCGCAAAAAGCGTCCGCAATCCCGAATTCCGCCGTACGCGAATCTTACGCCACCCAAATTCTGTCGCAACTGGAAATATGGTCAAGAGAGCTACCAGCATTGAAGGCATCTGGGGACTCCCGGACGCTTCCACATTAAAACTCTGGGCCAAGTTCTGTGGTTGACGCTGGAGGGGCGAAGGAGCCGGAGAGACTGGGCCAGCTTTCCGGCAAGCTGGTCCAGGAACGCGCGCCCAGCGTGTCGGAAGGAGGTTTCTTAATCATACGGGGCAGTTTTTAATACACCTGATGTTTTACCATATGGGATTTCCGATACATGATTGATGTATGAATGAATTGATGCATGAACTCATCGTTGGTTTTCATACTAAATCCCTGCATGTTTAACACACGATCCGCACGCGGAGCATGTATTAAAAACGGCACTGTATGCTCAACCGTACGTCCGCTTCTTGCAAAGCCATAGTTGAGGCCCCCGACGCCTCGTACCCAGCACCCTGTCAGTTGCTCCACCAGGTCACCGCGCTGCTCGCCTTCCAACAACACCTTATCCTGGCGAGGCACTTAGCCATTTGCAACTGTGAATGCCGCAGGTGTGAGTCGGGTCTCTGGTGGGTCTTCCCGTGGGGCCACGAAACGCGCGAGGGACATGCCGAAATGAGGGGGGTGCGTGACGCCCACACGCGAACGCTCCCTCTGGGGCCTCCGGTGGAGCTCCGGATGGGGGCCACCGAGTGAGGGGTGTGCCGCATCGGGCTTGACGCCCACATGCGAACGCTCCCAGTGGGGCTCCCTATGGGGCCACGAAACGAGTGAGGGCTGTGCCGAATTGGGCTTGACGCCCACATGCGAACGCTCCCTCTGGGGCCTCCAGAGGGGCTCCCTATGGTGCCACGAAACGCATCAGGTGTGTGACGAAATCGGCCTGACGCCCGCATGCGAACGCTCCCTCTGGGGCCTTCGGTGGAACTCCCTCTGTGGCCGCGCGCGTGAAGGGTCTGCCGAAACGGGTGTGGCCTCCAGTGGGGCTCCCTATGGGGCCATGAAACGAGTGAGGGCTGTGCCGAATTGGGCTTGACGCCCACATGCGAACGCTCCCTCTGGGGCCTCCAGAGGGGCTCCCTATGGGGCCACGAAGCGTTTCAGGGGTGTGACGAAATCGGCCTGACGCCCGCATGCGAACGCTCCCTCTGGGGCCTTCGGTGGAACTCCCTTTGTGGCCACGCGCGTGACGGCTCTGCCGAAACAGGGTATGACGCCCGCATGCGAAGGCTCAATCTGGGGCCTTCGGTGGTGCTCCATATGGGGACGCGTAGCGTGTGAGAGGTGTGCCGAAATGGGTGCGACGCCCACATCGGAACGCTCCCTCTGGGGCCTTCGGTGGTGCTCCATGTGGGGCCACGAAACGTGTGAGAGGGGTGCCGATACCAGCGTGACGCCCGCATGTGCACGATTCCTCTGGGGCCTTCGGTGAGGCTCCCTATGGGGCCACGCGCATGAGGGGTGTGCCGGCTCCCTATGGTGCCACAAAACGTGTTCGGGGTCTGCAGGAACGTGCGTGACGCCCTCATGAGAACGCTCCCTCTGGGGCCTTCAGCGGAGCTCCCGATGGGGCCAAGAAACGTGTGAGGTGTGTGTGTGTGTGTGTTTGTGTGTGCGTGTGTGACTGAAGAGGCGTTCCGCCCATATGCGAACGCTCCCTGGGGCCTTCCATGGAGCTCCCTATGGGGCCACGAAACGAATGAGGGGTGTACCGAAACGGGAGTGAGCCCTACATGCGAACGGTTCCCCTGTGGCCTTCGGTGGAGCTCCCTATGGGGTTACGAATCACGTGATGGCATGGGTGTGCCGAAACGGGCGTGACGGCCACATCCGGACTGTGCCACAGAGGCACTCGGTGGAGCCCCCTATGGGGCCATGGAGCGTGTGATGGGGGGCGTGCCGACATGGGCAGAGGCAGGGGTGGGAGGAGGAATGGAGGAGGAGGAGGAGGAGGAGGAGGAGGAGGAGGAGGAGGAGGAGGAGGAGGAGGAGGAGGAGGAGTGATGAGTGAGGAACGAGAGGCGCTGTCTCTTCAAAGCGGGGACCCAACTTCACAGGATGGTTGGAAGAAAATTACCCCAAAACGAAGGTGCGGGTGGCCTTGTCCTCCGACCCCCCGCCGCCCCCCCCACGTCGCCCCCCAGTCGCCGCCCCTCCCCCCCCCCCGCGCCCGCCTGGGCGCGGTGACGAACTCGCGCGGCAGCGCAACTGGATAGTACAGGTTACTCCGGATCCACTTGGCGAGCTGCCAGAAGTCCGCGACGGTGTCCCACTCGGGGCTGGCGCTGAGCTCGAACTCGGCGAGGGCAGGGGACGCGAAGAAAAAAGAAGGAACGACTGCACGAGCGTAAACTTGGGGAGCTCCGCACAACTCTCTTGGGTCGGCGCTGGACCCCCCCCCCTGGCGCGCGGAGCGCGCCAGGGGGGCCGCGCCAGAGGCGCCGCCGAGGGGCTCCAGCGCCGATCCAGGAAGTCCGCGCGGAACTCCGACAGAGTCTGCCTGTGCCGCCTTGTCTTCTTCGGGAAGACCTTCGTGTACAGCAGCCTGACGACCCCGGCGATGGCCTCGAGGTCCCCGGCGTGGCTCAGGGGCCGGTAGTCCAGGTGCGGCGCCGTCGCCGGGCTGCGCGACCGCACCACGAGCCGGCCCATCGAGCCGGAGCGGAGGAGTATGACTGTGAAGGTGAGCGACAGCCGGTCCTCGAGGCAGCCCTCAAGAACCATCACCTGAGCGGCGGGCGAGCGTAAGCGGTCGGGCGCCGGCAGAACTGGGCTCAGTGGGGCCTGGTTTCGTGGTGCGTGCGGGGGGAGGCCCCGCCGCCCCGCTCTCCGCCAACCGGAGCTGCCGTCCCCGGAAGAGGCGCGAGCTGCGGCAGACCTGGGTTAAGAATTCTGGCCACTGGAGGGACTCCGAGGCCCCACCACTAGCCGGGAGGAGGAGGAGGAGGAGGAGGAGGAGGAGGAGGAGGAGGAGGAGGAGGAGGAGGAGGTCCACTTACCTGGGGTCCTGGCTATACCCGAAACGGGGCCCACGCACGATGGCATCGCGGCCTTGCGCCGCGGCGTACGCGGGCCGCCAGCGCGGCACACCGTGCGAAGGAGAGGGCGCTCCGCGCGCGCGACCACACGCGGGAACATCACGCGCAGGCGTCCGCGCAGTCGAACCCGCTTCCTTCCTCGGGAGCAGCCAGGAGGGGGGTGTCCAAGAGGGGGAGTGTGCAAATCATGACCGGCGGCACGTGCGCGGCCCAGCGGGGGTGCCAGGGACGCAATGAAATAAGAAGAGGCGCCATGAAATCTGAGGAAATATCATGCCCCCGGCCATGATATCCACCTCCCACTAGTCATCACCCCCCTCTTTGCCGCCCCCGACTTCCGTCGCTCACCTCTGCCTCCACGGGCCCCTTGGCCCCGGGACTGTTGTCCGTGCTGTTCAGGAACGCGTACAGCTGGCCCATGAACTGGTCCAGATCCCACCGCCCCTCTTGGCGTGAGGCAGGGCTCTGGGCCGCCCTTCCAGAGTGGCCCCTTCTCCTCCCCCATGGCAAGGGCTTGCCCCTCCCCCGGCCCCTTCCACGAGGGACCGCCAGTGGTGGGATTGTACGTAAGAGTCCTAATTACATGGCTCCCAGACTGCTCGAAGTAGCCCCCAGGAATGCCTCAAGGCTGGCGCAACGTGACACAATGTGCCCTCTACTACGGCCCCAGGAAGCCCGCAGAAGGCCTCCAACTGGCCTGAAGTGGCCTCGGAGCCTGCCAAGGGATCCTCAGAGAGGCTAGACACATTGAGCACCTGAACGTTCAACAAAAATGGTGCTCGGGTTCTCGCCATGGCGGTGGCCTCTGAGGCTTGGCGGGGGGAGAGCTTCTTAGAAGCACCTCTGCTTCTTCGAAGGCGCGGGCTAGATTTGAGGCATCAAGATGTCTAGAGATGGCCCAGCAGGGCCACGAACCGCAAGAAAGGCCTCAAAGGGCTCCCAGAGAAGTGCCCCCCATACGGTCGGTAATCATGTTGCCCCGCTGGAGTTGAGAGCCCCCACCCCCACCCGCGGCTTCATCTGCGCCCGCGTGTCGCTCGTGTCCGCCCGCCGTGGCCTTGCCCCCGTGGCTGCTCTGCCACCCCACCCCGTGGCCTCACGTCACTGCCGCCCCCGCCCCCGCGGCCCTCGAATTACACGCGCCCTCGCTGCGGCCGTGCACCCGCCCCAGTGGCCTTCCGTTCTCCTCCCCGTGCCGCCCACCCGACCCGACCCCCCCGCGACCCCGCACCTCGCGGTCGCCGCGTGGCCCTCCCTGCTTCTCGCCGCTCCCCGCCGAAGCCCCACTCTGCGGTCCTCTTGCCGCCAGGCCGGCCGCGCCGCTCCCCGCGGCCGCCCGCCTCTGCCCTCGGTCCGGGCAGTCCCCCATGGGCGGGCGGCCGCCCCCGGGATCCGACGCCGCGGCTCAGAGCAGCACGGTTCGCCCGAGCCCGTGGCGGAGACGACCCTATAGGGACTTCCCCACGGCGTCCAGATCTGACGCTTCTCTTGACCGTCTCCCCCGGCGCCCCACCGATCCCTGCCCCCCCCCCCGGGCTTTCGCGGCTCTCTGTTTCGGTGGCGGTGCTGTCGCATCCGTCGCATCCCCACGGCCTCGCCACGACTTCCCCCCCACCTTCCCCTCTTCGCTGCTATGCCGCCTCCTTCCACCCACAGCGGCTCTTCATCGCGGTCGTCTTGTCGGCCGAGGCGGTCGTATCCACTCCCTGCCCTGCCCCAAGACCACACCTCAGGTCTTGCCTCGCCGCAGGCCATCCCTCTTCTGCCCCTCTCAGCCCCCAACATCCCCTTCCTGGCCAGCACCTCTCTCTTGTCTTCGCCGTCGTGTCGTCGTGTAAGCCTGGTCCCCGAGCGCCCCCTAGCTCCACGTCCTGCACCATGCCGCTCAACGTGCGCTCCCCTATGCTCGCGGGCGCCCCGCGGCACGAACCCGCACCGCCGCCGAAACTCTGTCGATGATGAAGGGGCCCTGGGACACACAAATAAATACACACAAATAAAAGGATTCACCATATTTTGTGTCTGTGTGTTTTTTTCCCTCCTGAGATGAGAACTACTACACCTGGTGCAAGAGACCTGGGGCCCGCGGGCCACTCCTGCCTCGGGTCCCGGAGATCGGCCCGCCATGGGTGCCGGGGCCCTCATTGTTCAGCAGATGGCCTCCATGGCCCCGAGAGTGCCCCCAAGGTTTCCAGGGCCCCGAGGGGGCTCCCGGGGGGATCAACACACTCACAGAGGACCCCCTGAGCGATCCCCAACATGGCTCTCCGACAGATCCCCGCATCGACATCTCGAGGGGGCCGCTCAGGCTGGGGACGCTGCTCTCGCACGACAGGCCTCTCCTTCTTTGCTTCACGGCTCGCCCAGGCATCGGGTCCCGATGGGCCGGTGGAGATCGCGCGGAGCGCCATGGATTGCCCAGATGCGTCGCCCTGCCGCTCGGCTCCCGATGGTAGCCCTGCGGGCACGGCACCGCCGTGCCAACCACGATGGAGAGGCCCACGTGCTCGCGGAAGTGCCGGCTCACCTCGGGCGAGGCAGCCACCAGTGGGATGCCGAGCCTCTCGAGCTCCAGGGGCTCCGCGATGCCGGACAGCGTGAGGATCTTGGGCGAGCCGAAGACGCCCGCTGAGACGATGGCCTCGCGCGCCACGCGGACAAGCTGCCTTCGGGGGGGCGCGCCCTCCGAGCTTCCCCGCGTGGCGACCACGACGCCGACCACGTGCGCGCTGCTGTTGAACACGATACGCTCGACCTCCGCGTGCGGCATCACTGTAAGTCTGTGGCCGCCCGTACGGTTGAGCGGCGCCACCAGCGTCTTGTATGGCGAAGCGCGCGGTCGGCCCTTGGCCGCTTGAAATCGGGACACCCGCGTCGGCTGGCACCGTGGATGCTCGCAGCCCATGGACCGCCACATGCCGCCCACCCCGTGAATGCTGCTGGCACTGTGTGGATCGAGTCTAAAAGGGACACTGGCGTCCGCGAACGCCTCGATGACCGCCCGAAACAACGCTGGCAGCTCCTCTGGCGTGGCCGAAACGAGTGTCAGCGGATAGCCTGGTTCCTGAGCCGCCTGACTCTTGTCCGAGGGCTCTGAGTGCAGCTCTAAGTTCGGGGCAAAGCCCGGGACCTCCATCCTTGCCTCTAGGGCGAGGTACGCCTCGAGCACATCGGCCTCGCTCCAACCGAAGGCCTCGTACTCGGACAGCGAGCCCCGTGTGTAGATCATCGAGTTCACCGCCGACGTCCCGCCAAGGCCCTGGCCAGTGCTGTAGCTCCATACCCTCTCGTGGCCGTCAAAGCTCCAGTTCGCGCTCAGGGGCGCCCGCCAGCGAGACCTGTCCGAGGGGGGCGA